AACGAGAGTGTCGCCGAATACCCGAAAACATCAATTCGACATCGTTCTCATGAACTTCAAATTTCACAAAGCACTACGCAGCAAATTTTGACTAAAGATCTCCAAGGAAAGAAAAGCATCGATAATTGGTTCAATAAGTAATGGAGCAAAGTAAAGTCGATGCCAATTTTTCGAAAAAGGTCATTTTCTCCGATGAACAGAACAGATTATCTCACGAAATTCTGATGTCAACTGGCCACCAAGATCGTGCAATTTAACGCCGTGCGATTTTTTCTTTAGGGTTTTGTGAAATCTCGAGTTTATGGGAATAAACTCGAAACCATTCCTGAGCTCAAATCGGAAATCCAAAAGTCATGGAAAATTTCATGAAAAGTGTAATGCCTGTCATCGGAGCCGTGGAGATCATTTGCCGGATATTTTATTCCATACTTAATCGGAACATGTCTTCTTTATAATACAATAAAAATATCACAACTCTGTCATAAAATACTTGTCTTTATTTAAAAATTAAAAAGTGCACTCTTACTGAGACACCCGTTACTTTCGGTTGGTCAAAGCGTATGTAGTGATTAGGCCTATCTAGTATGTGTTCACAGACTGCTGATTTTGTGTGTCGTCTGTCTTATGTCCGCAATGTGTTCTTGAGTCTGCTGGACATATTGCGTTTAGTTTGCCCTATGTAAACAGTCGCAATCCAGTTTGTATATACCTGCATCTTGCAATGGGGTGTTACTTTTGATTGGTCTTAGGAATTGCTGAATCTTCTTGTGCGGCTTGAAAATTGTATGAATAGAAGCTCGTTTTAACAAGTCTTTACCAACCGGGATACTTTCAGTTATTCTGGCTCATTAAATTAAGATAACATTATCACCACATGACACATGACATCTTGTCATAGAAATGATTAACAAAGTGTAATACTATAACAGGATTTTTATAATTTTTATAATAAACTAGCAGACTCGGCCAAGCTTTGCTGTGGCTAAGGGCTCCAACACAAAACTGCGAATTCGCATCGCATCGCAAATATTTGCGAATTCGCACGAACACACCGCAAGAAGTTCCGATCTGCTTCGCATCGCACATTCTTGCGATATTACGTCATCCTTGGTGACGCCATTTTAGTCCGCTCTGAGACAGCTTTAGAGAAAGACGCGCAGCGCCTCCGCCGCCTTCTTTGTTTATAAAAAATTGCGGAAAATGATATGGATTTTTTAATATTTTTAATTGAGGAGCGTCCCGTCCTTTGGGACACAAGTGATGAACATTATAACAATAAATTTATCAAGCAAGATGCGTGGAAGATGTCTGTGAAAGTTTGCATCAGAGTTCATAATCGTAATAAATGGATGAACCTAGAATCTTCTTTTTCTTTTATATCTATTTAACAATAACAGAAGTGCAATTATCTTTTTGCGATCCATCTTACGCGTCCTAAAAACACGTCCAGTACGGCTGACTACGAAGGAATGGTCGCCCTACCAAACGGTTTGCCGCACTAAATCGTATCGCAGAAATTCGCATCGCAAATTCCTGCGATGCGAACTCGCATCGCATCGCAGTTTTGTGTGGGAGTCCTAAAGTTTTTTGTTATATTACATAGTAGTAAACTATTCAAGGGAAACGGTAGGAGATCACCAGTCATGGGGACCACCATGCTTTTTCGGTAGTTATGCCATTAAATTGTAGCTTATGTGAATCGTTGGTGCTTTCAACACAGCGCTATCTGTTAGAATTGTGACTGTCAAATAATTAACAAATAATTTGCAATAAAATAATATTACTGTTATAAATGAAGATGCGAGCTATCCTATCTTTTAAGTTAGTTCAAACTGCACACGGTATGCAAATTTGATTGAAATCAAACAACGTGACACGTAATTTATATATATTAAGATTTTTGCGACACTTATTTTGAGTATTGAAAATTGCTTGTTCGTTGAAAAAGCAATTTTCGATTAAAAGCTCAATTGACTAAAATGTCGATCTTTGAAAAATTCAACATTTTTCAAAGATAGACATTTTAGTATTAGAACTCATAGCATCAATTAACATTTGAATTTAGAAACCGAACGTAAAAATAACTACCAGTGAAAATGTCATGACCTACAGAGAGGTCGAGAGACTTCACTGCTGATAAATTGTACCAAAATATTTAATTGAAATACTATTCATAGCAAGTAGGTAACCCTAGCTAGGGAATTACTCATGAAATCAACACTGAAACAGGTAAATTGTATATGCAGATAATTTAGAGTTAAATATTAGTTTAATCAAGCTTACATAGAGTTTGCAACTAAAGCTAGCATATCCATGAACTTTGTCCTTATTTAGTTCGCAGTTCCGTCTAATCTTCGATGTCAAAGTTCATGAGTGTTAATTAAGCGCCCTGTTAAGTTACCTGATAGGTATTCAGCTAAGCTATGTTAGTTATACTTAGAATTCGGATGCAACTTTGCATCGCTTACTAAACTATACCTATCTGCATTCACCTTATGTTTTGTCTTGTTATTTATTAATTAAATAATAGGTTAAAAAGTATTCTATTAAAATAGTGGATACAATTCAAGGAATTTCGAAATATCGTTGATTAAAACTACTATTAAATAAATGCAATAACTCCCTAACTGTCAAACATAATTCTCTAACAGTAAAGTAAATTTACAAATATTGTTGTAATTTTACAGTAACATATTGAAATATCTAATTGCAATGTACCTATATTTAAATTATTGCAATAAAACCCGTATAGTTTTAGGAGTTTTTAACACAATGCGCTCATTTTATTGATCAGTATCTGACATTTAAATGATTGAAATCTATAGAAACATCTCAAACAGACATTTTTTTAAATTGGTAAAAAATATAGATAAGAATTAGTGCGGAAGTACATAATCTCTTCAATCTAAATACCAACGTCAAACGGTAGATTGCCTGAAGGATCAAATTTATCAGCGTCAGGTATTCAAACGAAATCTTGAGGCTGCGTTATTACGCAAAGGGCGAACATCATAATTAGGAAGATTGAAAAATTTTATCAAATATTTCTAGACCACGGTCTCTGGCTTCAGTTCATTAGATATTATGTTGCAGGCTCGTGCATTTACAAGGTTTATCAAGCTTCTAAAGCGCATGCGCGATCCCAGTCAAAGCTCCGACATAGTCATTCAGCCATTAGAGTAGGTCGAATGGTTACCCTTAACAAGTAATAAATGCAATTTTAAATTATCTATACTTATCAACTGGGCGAGTCGATATTTATTTATACATTAATAAGGTAAGTTTTTATAATTGTAAATGTTCCGGCGAATTACAATTTCAGTTTTAAGTTTTTAAGTATTCATTTTTCATTTTTTTCATTTCATATTGAAAATTCTATACCTACTTCGATACTCATTAACTTTTAACGTTGCTGTTGTATACTTGATGTTGGACCTGTAATATATTTAAGTGGGGCATTGATATTCAAGGATTTTGTTTTTTCTACGCGACTTATGTTGCGGCTTGAGATTTTTCGTTTTTAAATATATTTGAAAGATTTACAAAGCAATCACGATGGTCAAATATTGTTTTATGTCCTTTCTATGTTCCGTTTATCGCAGTTATCAAAATCTTTGCAGTGGTATAAGCGTGACAGTGTTTATACTTTACAAATGTTGAATATATATATACAGTTAAGATTTGTTATAAACATTTTCTTTTTTCTTACTCGATATCCTAAATTCCTTCAGTATCATTGATCAGAACCCCTTCAAGGGCCTCCTCCAGCTTTTTCCAAATATCTCTATCCATTGCTTTCTTTCTCCTTTCGCTTCTTGCTAACGCTTCTATATCCTTTATCTATCCACCTTTTTTTAGGGCGACCTCTTTTACTTCTTCCCCTTGGTCCTTTCCATATAGTTGTATTTTATATGCCCCGCCACTTTTGTTTAAAGGTATAATCTAAGGCATCTATAACTTTTGTTTTACGTCGTTTTTTATTATTTTAAGTCCGCTTCTTTTCATTGCTTTCGGGCATGCTCCTAGCGTGAGAGCGTAATCAGCCTAAAATCCCACTGCCAGATGATGATCGGATAACTTACTTGTTACTCCGTGGATATTTTCAGGTATAATCTTCAGGCATGTGTGCGTATTATTCTTTGTAAATTATATCCATGTTTGGATGGACTCGGGTTTGTACAGTATGTATTGCATGAACCACCTAGTCCAACTATCTAGTCCAACTATAATCTATGCGGCTCATTACTTTATAAAAAATTTTTCTCAGTAAATAAAAATCTTTTACTACTTAAACACAGAATGCATGATGCATTGCGAATGAAATTACTTTAAGTTACTTTTTATTTGCCTATACCAACTGAGTGTCCATTTTTAATGTCGTTTCTTTTGTTTCAGACACAATGTCGTCGAATAAATTGCCATCGCTCGTAGTCAAATGACAATAACTAGAATAAAGGTAAAGTTATTAAATTATGTGTAAAGTGGAGTTTTTCTTTATATAATTACATTTATACATATTTTGTATGTAGAAAATTTGGCACCAATAAAATAGTAGCTTATATTTAAAATGTACTGCATTCAATAATTTTTGAAACTACTTTTGTTGCATCTGACAATCGATCCGAACATTATGCTACGCTGTCGGAGACTCGACATATTCTTTCGTAGGTATGCGTAGCAATCACTTTACCCAAAAATTGCACAAAAAATGTTGAATGTTACAATGAATTAATCTGTAATTTAATTACTGTGTTTGTGCAAAATATAATTAATTTGTTAATGGGATCCGTATTAATCCGACAAAAGATTTTTAATTATTGTTTCGTTCCATATAAATCATTAATTATGTATGAATGTATATATATATATGTGTTACGGATTACATTGGGGCAAGTACCGTCTGCGTCGGTTTTACTACATTTCGTCCGAATTGGCAACAACAAATTTTCGAATAAACGTTTGGCTAATAGTGATATTTTTTTTCAGTGCCGGGAGCGCTCATGAGACAGTCGTGCCATCGTCTGCTTGAGCACCAACACGCCGGGGGAGACGAACCCCCGCTTTACTCACCAGTAGACCAAATTTCAGGTAAAATTAAAAAAAAATGTACGCCAATTTAAATCAAGAAAATTGAAAATATAACTCTAATTTTTCAACGAGTCTGCAAACAATATTCTTGAGGGCTACGATTACCGGTTGCAATAAACCCCCCGAGAACAATTAAAACCTTCAACTTAATGTTAAAATCTTCTGAAATTTCTCCCATAAACAAATACTTAGTCTCGTTTAAAGAAGGCTTTCGAGGTAAGACTATAATGAAGTGTTTGACTCGATCAAAGTCGACTGGAGTTTTAGCAGCGTTGTAATACTTTGAAACTATTATGATAATCTGAAACCAACAACGCAAGTCTAACTTTTATAATATGATGTTGCTAAAGTTCTTTAAGAAAATCGTGATTAAGACAGATTTATCATGATTTCACAATTTTTTATATATATTTTATAGTTTGAAATAATGCTGACTTGACGTGTGTTTTACGAACATGGTTGGTCACAGTTGCCAGAGTGTATTCAGATTAAAGAGAATAAGAAAAATGTCACGAATAGGATCAATATGTGGTATATGTGATGCATGATTTATTATTTTAAAATTTTGTTGCGAGCGTTACTTTTTTATTTTCTTCCAATAACATAGCTAGTGCTTCGCTTCACTTACAGAAATAATAGTTTATTTATACTCATCGAAAACACCAACGGAGTATTGACATCACGGTCTTAAACTTATCGATTATTCGACGTCTTCTCAGTGTTATTATAAAATAAACAAAATAATGTTTCGTATTTAAATTTAAATATTTATTGAAATTTTAAGAGTGAAATTTACGTTTCTTTTTACTCCGTTTATACAATATACGTTATAGCACATATACCTTTTAACAAACATTGCACACAATGATTTTTTATTGAGACAATTTGATTAAAGCAATTTTTTTGTCGTGGCCATTGGCACTAATTGGCAGTACGGTGACAATGTTGGTTCGATTTTAAGTTATATATTTAATAGTAGGGTTGATATATGTTTTGAACTCCTTCTCAAGTGGAAATGTAATAATAGTTGATACTTCATTTGAAGATGTATTTTTATTTATATAGTCATCTAATTAGTCGATGTATTCAGCTAATTATATGATGATATAATAAATTTTATTAAATTTAAATTAAAAAATTATTACATAAATCAAACAATTATAAAATATGCATAACAAACATTATGCTTATGAGACATCATCTTCATTTAATTCTTATTCGAATATAGTAAAACATCCTGTATTCGAATGAGAATTTTAGTCAAGAACAGGTTTCTTGCGTCGGCTAACTGTGGAGCGTCAATGTTTCAATTGGTTTATGACGTTTTACAATTTTAATAGTTATAATGTTATAGTGTATATATCACTGGCCTTAGTATATAAGTTAGTTATTTAAATATGTTTGACGTCCTGGTGGACAGAAAAACTGTGTCCAGTTTGTGTTTCCACCACACCAACTTATTTTCTATTTAAGATCATGTATATAATAAACAAATAAAATAAATAAATAAATCCACTTCAAACTATTTTTAAAGAAAATTTTCTATACTATAAGAACATATTTGTAGAAGGTAATCAGAATGAACATCGCTTGCTTGTATATGGATGACAAGAGCAGTTAAACATGGAAACAGAAAAGCTTTCGACAGCATATAGGAAAATAAAAGAGGATTTTGATACAGTGGTACCGGAACATGTGGGCCGCGAGGCCGGCGGCAAGCTGACACGATATGCGCCGACGGAGGAAGACGAGGCGACACTCAGGGAACTTCTTCTTAGGTACGTGTGACCCTAGAGAAATGTCGAAAACCTTAGCTTTCTGCCTCTGTTACTGGCTTCATTGCATTGTCGATTCATGAACTCTGTGTGTCGATGTGTCTATACATTTTTCACCTTGGCTTGGCATCCAAATATCCTTTATTACAGATATTAGAATGATGCAACTCGCGACGTCTCAACCATCATTCACTTTACTTCATAACATGATAACATCGAACTATAGTTCACCGTACTTACCTGCATTAGATACAATGGCCATGACCTATCTTGTTTTGTCACGGAGTCGAACGCGATGTCGCTTTCACTGAAATCGCGGTTTTATTAGAAACATTAATTTTATAATTGAATCAATTGATCTTTCCGCAATGAGGCGCTTGCATGTGTTTGAAGGTGTTGTATTTTCAATAGTTATTTAGTGGAGATATTGATATTTATTAACATTTTGAAGTTGAAGTTTTCTAAAAAATGCACTAGAAAAGACTTCCCAATTATATATTTGTAGCTTTTCAGTTTTGTTGCTTTTACATTCTACAATAGACATTTCACAGAATAATGTACTTATATGATTTTTGTATATAAATTAAAATCTCATTCACATTTACTGTATCTATTGATTATTGCATTTACCACAAAAGAAATATAAAAGTTTTTGTGAGTATTTCACGACGTATCTCAGTGATTTGTTAACATATACAAGTTAAATTTGATTGGCATAATTGATTAATTATGTAATTTGGTGAATGAGGTATGTTTTTAATTAATTAAATTAAGAAAATCTTATGTAAATATCAGAGAATTAGAAGCAATTTTTAAGCAATAAATATTATTATATGGAAATGTATTTTTAAATCCAATTATTGCTTTAAATATTTATGTTATTTTATATCAAGACTGACGCTGAACACTCTTACAGTTTGTTTTCGTTGTATTTATGAATATTTTGAATGAATGAGCATCTCGGTGAGGTATGAACCTTAGAGTGACTTTAGGTTAATTGTTAATTGAAAATTACAACTTTGAGGTTCACTTTAGAGTTGAGATTTTGAAAAATGAAAAACTTTTTATGCTACGAAGCAGCTTGATCCCACATCAAGATTAATTATACGTTAGGTATACGCCTACACTTATAACATTTATATACTAATAGATTTAATTAAAAATTCAGCCTTCAGAGACAGGTGAGCGTGATGAGTATGAATCTTTCCGCCAAGCTGGACGAGTTACAGCGTGGGGACCGACAGCTCGAAACCACGGTCGCTCTATGCGAGATCCGCACGCAACTCCAAGAACTCACCAAGAGTGTTGAATCATGTCAAAGCGAGGTATCTGAGGTGAGTCCAACTTATATCATCGGTATCTATATATATATAAAAAATACTAGCTGACCCGGCAAACGTTGTTTTGCCATGTATATTATTTCTAAGAAACATTTTTTTTAGTTCAATAAAAATAACTATCTACAATAATCAAAAAGGGGTTGATCGTAGAGGAGTGAAAACTAAGGGTTGTATGTATTTTTGTATGCTGTATCATAAAAAAATATTTTTTTATTTCTTTAAATAATAAAAATAAAAAATTTAGGGGTGGACCGGACCACCCTTAACATTTAGGGGTTTGAAAGTCACACTATCTATAGTGTGACAGGAGAATTTTATATATTAGATAGATTTTTACTGACGCCTGTTATTAATATCAGCGCAGTCTAGACAGCTAAAAATAGTATTTATAGTTAGTTGCTGTAGGGTAACTTAAATAGTTTGGGCTTCTATTCCTGCAGAATTTACATCTTAAAAATAATCAATAAAACAGATTCTGAAATGATGCGGTTTTCCAATGTTCAGGGCGTTTTAGAGTAAAGTTTTTTAGGTAAAACGAGACATGGTTGCCATCAAGCAAGAATTGGATACTGTGCAGCAGGTGAAGGAAGAAATCGAGGAGTTGCGAGAGTATGTGGATAGACTTGAAGAACATACTCAAAGGCGGAAGCTGAGACTTCTTGAGCAAGTAAGTATATTTAATTTCATAATAAAGAGTCTGCTAGAAACGTAAAATATTGGCGTATAAATTGGTAATAACACATAAGATATGTGTTATTACCAATTTACTAGCATTTTATCTGTCAGTTTGTTCAAAGCGAGCAATGTTTTAAAGTCTAAATTAATTTTAAATATTCTATTTACGAAATATGGTACGATAAAAACTTATTAAAAAACCTGGCGATAAATGTGAGTTATGATGTTTGACGGTTTACAGATTTGGATCGACAAATAAATGCTTATTACCATAAATTGTAAAATAAAATGTATTTTCATTTCTAGGGCTTAACATTCTTCCTGTCCTATGCCATCTTAGCCGCAGTCCTCGGTATGCTGCAATTCGGTTACAACACTGGCGTCATCAACGCTCCTGGCAGAGTGAGAAAATATTATAATAAGCACCAATGCTAGCCTTTGGGTTGGGTGTTAAAACTGCTCTCTACTGTGCTCTTATTTAAAAAACGGGACAGCAATATACAGGCTCTTCGGCTTGTCATACACCGTTGTCATACACCGCCCTGTAGATTTATATGACTGGTTACGCTACAAACATTTGCAAGGAGAACTTAAATCACGGCCGCCCGTATATTTCGTGAAATAAGTTAGCTATTTTTCAAAATTAATATTTGTGAAATACAAACTATAACTACTTAGTAAGAATAACTACTATTAGTAAGAATAAAATCAGTCGTATTTCATTGTTTTAACTTTTGTTGTGTCTTTCGAGTTTCGAGCAGGTATAAAAGAGCAGGCATATATTAAACGGTATAATAAAACTGAATAAGGTAAAATATCTTAAAGGGATATTTGTAGTAAGTAGGTATTACACGTAATATAAAAGGAATGATTCAAAAATTGATGAAATGAATGTATGAAATATATTCTCATACATTCATAAATCAACAAACGTAATTATTCTAATGAATACTATAAAAGTGGCATTCATCAGAAGCGTGCCTTATTTATTTTAAGATAAATACAAAACGATAAGATCTATATACTACTATTTAAAGAGTGAAATCTTGAGTTTTTATTGGTCTTTTTATTTTTTGTTACGTCAAAGATAGAGATTGTAAGAAAGGATTGAAAAAATGAATGGGTGAATGAAATTAAAAAAAAGATCATACATTTTCTCAAGAATTCTTGCTCAACTTTAGTAATTTCAATATCTGTTATTATCTCCAGAACATCGAAAACTTTATGAAAGACGTTTACAAGGACCGTTACGGCAAGGATATCCAGGATGATGCCGTCAACACTTTGTATTCCATCGCAGTGAGCATCTTTGCAATTGGTGGAATGCTTGGCGGTTTCTCGGGTGGAATGATCGCAAATCGATTTGGAAGGTATATTTATGAAAAAAATTAGGTCTTCTCACCATGCAAGTGTTATTTTTCAGGCTTCGATATTTTTTTATTCGAAGAAGAAATAAACTAGGTACTCAACTGTTTTTGTTTCTTTTTGGGAACACTTTGGACACACGCTGAATTGTTATGGTAACCTCTGAATGAGCCATAAAAGAAACAGATTTCTATTTTTGTTTTAATGACCCTGTTTCAGGGCAGGAACCATAGAATGTCTAGCTAGAAACCTAACCCAGGAATCCGGGCTGTACCTTATGAAGATATACATCAAGGACGCTACCGGTTGTGGCTTATGGTTAGGCTTTAATGGACTAACCAACAAAAGTATGAGCAAGAAATGTAACAGCATTGACCAACTTTGACATGTTTTAATTGGTTTTGTCTCTCCTATTAGGAAAGGTGGATTATTGCTCAATAACATTCTTGGTATTAGCGGCGCAAGTCTTATGGGATTCACAAAGATATCACATTGCTATGAAATGCTCTTCTTCGGTAGATTCATCATTGGAGTTAATTGCGGTAATTATGGAGGCAGTTGTTTCTATTTAAAGCCTACTAGCCTATATATACAAAAACATTACACTTTTTCTTGTGATAATATATATATATATCCTACAAAGTATTTATGATTAATACATTTTCGGATATCTTCGTAATTGTACAGAACCAGCCTCAATTTTTACGTGTTATCATCATTCATGTTGGGACTTGGGACAAATAATTTTTTAATAATCATGTATGTTATTTAGATTACAAAAGTGATATATAAAGTAACAACTCAAAATAATATAATTATAAGTAATAGTAATATGTGAATCCAAGCAGAAGCCAACACAATCTAAATTTAAACTGTTTTGTGTATATAATTGGTACAATATCAGTTTTCATTAGCAACGGCGAAGAATCCAGAAATGGGGGTAAGGAAATATTAAATGTTTAAAATTTCAGGGCTAAATACGTCATTGGTGCCAATGTACATATCTGAGATTGCGCCTTTAAACCTTCGCGGTGGACTGGGCACGGTAAATCAGCTAGCTGTCACTGTAGGTCTGCTTCTATCCCAAGTTCTTGGTATCGAACAAATACTTGGCACAGATGAGGGCTGGCCCATACTTCTCGGTAAATAAATATATTTTTTATATTATTATTTAGTATAATCTGCAGTTATTAGTAAATTATCTACAGTTGTAGTGGTCAACCCTGCATTATATTTTCAAGAAGTAGTAATTATATTAAACTAAAATTTCAAGGGATTGACATTTGATAAAATAATTATTTGCTAGGTTTGGCGGTATGCCCAGCAATTTTGCAACTTTTGCTCTTACCTGCTTGTCCTGAATCTCCTCGCTATCTGCTTATCACACGCCAATGGGAAGAAGAAGCACGACGGGCATTGAGAAGATTACGAGCTAGCAACCAAGTAATATTTCGTTTAATATTTTTAAAGATTCTTTATATTTACTATTATGACATATTAAGCTGCTAACTATTTTAAAAGGTGGAGGAAGATATAGAAGAGATGCGTGCTGAAGAAAGAGCTCAACAGGCAGAAGCGTCGATATCAATGAGGGAGCTACTGTGTTCCCCTACTCTTCGCGCCCCACTGCTCATTGGTGTCGTGATGCAACTGTCGCAACAACTCAGCGGAATTAATGCGGTAACTTATTTAGTTCACTTAACTCAAAAAGACGATTTGTCTATTCTAAATCGTGTCCTAACGTAGTCTGTATAAAGAGGATTTACACGTAAAAAACCATTTTCTTATTTCTATTTAAAGTGTGTGTAAGAATAAAGTCTAAATTGATAGATGTTTCATATAGGTGTTCTACTACTCAACGTCTCTGTTTACTTCGTCGGGACTTACCGAAGAGTCAGCGAAGTTCGCAACAATGGGTATCGGGGCTATTATGGTAGGAATGACCCTGGTCTCCTTACCACTCATGGATCGCACTGGACGCCGAACCCTTCATCTTTACGGCCTTGGGGGAATGTTTATCTTCTCTATATTCATCACCATCTCATTCCTTATAAAGGTGTGTTTAATACAGATCTGATGAACTGTGAATGAATGTAAAAATCTACATTACTTTGCAGTTCAGTATATGTGTAATAGCAAAACTCAGAATGTTCAAGACGAACCTTTAATCTATTAACAAAAAACCATTAAATATAATGATATGATATGAGTCTACTTTTATAGAAACTTGCGAGTAATTAAAGTCTCTTTTTACTGCAGCCAGAAATGTTGATTTAGATACAACTAACTTTTAATGGTTGAATTTATATTTATTTTCTAAGATAACTATTAAATAAGGTCGTGTGTAATACTTAAACCAGTTATAATCAAATCAATTAATTAATTATTATATTGGTCTTAAAATTGGACAATTCAGTTATACTTGGTATAAGTATTGCTTTTCTAGTATAGAGCATGAATTAAGTTAATATTTTATAAGGAGGTGTTTTTACAAGTAGAAATTTATTCATAACGTTTTTTAAGATATTTTAAAACACCTGCTAATGATAAAAATAATATCATATTTTGCTTTGCACGCTTGTTTTGTTATGATTTTCATTTAAATCACCTTAAAGATACAGTGAACTTTCGTATTACATTTTTGTGCAACCCCATTCAATTAAAATCAACAAAAATATAACTTTCCATTATCATGTCTAGATTATGTATTGACCATAGTAAATTCGCAACACCTCAATAATTAAAGAAATTCTACTAAATCCTACACAATTTTCGCCTTCAGCCAGCCATTTTTAGAGCATGTGTTGATATTTTTTGCTTTTGCTTCGCAGTAGATATCACCTCCCCCCCCACTACGACTTTCCTGTTTCCGAAACCGTACTCTTTTTAGGAAACGTTGTAAATGAAATAAATTGTCAAATATAAATGTTAGTAAATGTACATCATCCATACAGCACCATACACATTTTTGTTACCTACACGAAGTTGAGATATAAAAGGAAAGAGTTTTATTCACGAGACGCTCTGTCGCACGCGGATACTGAAGTGATATTTTCACACAAATCTGCTCACAAGCAGAAAGCACTTCACGCAAACGCAATACAGCCAAAACAACGGGTTTACTTCACTCGCTAAATACTAGCACAATTTCTTATTCTTTCTGAAGATCGCTTCTTGAAACAGTTTTTTTTAAATTGTCTCACTACTCATCTAGCACTATGTGTTGAGCCACAGATAGTAAACAAATGAACTAAAATCACATACACAGACAGACAAGTGTGTGGTAACATTTATGTTTGCGATTTACTTCGGCCTCGGTCGGTTACAGGAAAGAACTATCATGCTATCCCCTGATAGGAGTTTTTCGGCTATGTACAGGAAATGATAGACTGGATGAGCTACCTGTCCGTGGTGTCGACGCTAAGCTTCGTAGTGTTCTTCGCTGTGGGGCCTGGTTCAATTCCCTGGTTAATCACTGCCGAACTCTTCTCACAAGGACCTAGACCGAGCGCAATGGCAATCGCCGTTTTAGTAAATTGGATGGCCAATTTCGTAGTTGGAATCGGCTTTCCCAGCATGAAGGTAATAAACAATTCCCAATTCATCACTATATAAAGTTATTCGCTTTCTACCATATACAGTAATTAGTAATTATTAGCACTCTAAGTTTCTTTTGTTTATTTTCAGGCCCTACTGGAAAACTATACATTCCTGCCTTTTAGTGTATTCCTTGCAATTTTTTGGATATTTACGTATAAAAAAGTTCCTGAAACAAAAAACAAGACCTTTGAGGAGATATTAGCGTTGTTCCGAAATTCAAACGGCAGGTAAGTGTTCGGTTAGGGTTATTTCTTAAAGTTTTTATATAATATTTTTGTAACAACGTGCACTTTCTGTGTTCGTCACCAAACATCACCTACATCGATGTTCAACACGTTCATGTCCCTCAGAGGCACGATCTTATAGTGATATCATAAGCCATCGGCACGCGTTGCACGTGGGGTTTCTATTAATATTTGTCTGTGTTGTATTTTACTACAAAACTACCTAGTCCCCTAAGAAGTCCCCGGTTTGGTATTATAACATGCCTTTATACATTAACGCAGTAAATATTTTAAGTTCATTAGAATAAAACATTTTTGAATACATTTCTCGAGGTCAACTATTATTGAAATCTCTTTTTTCATATCGATAACGATATTTAAATGTTTTTTTATGATCTCTTACCTCTATTTGAAATATAGAAATCCATTATATTATTTACTTTTATTATTCTTTTGAATAGGGACTGAATGAAAATACCTTTTACTCTTAAAGACTAGATAAAAGTTTTAGCGTCCATACAATTTTTTTCTAACACGATAAGCTAAGTTTAGTCAGGGTACGCGATGACTAAATTCGAAAACCTCATTTTCATATAGCGCGGAAATCTATGAAAACAAACTGTAAGTATAATCGGATACTTGGGACCAGATGTGGTATGGATTTCTCCTCTAGGCTTGGGTATGACCGTGCTGGGTGTATGTACAGGGACAGTTTTCGCGACAGCCGACTCTATGGAAGCATGATGAATTGTGTGAACGCTTTGGAGCAACAGCTGCCGCCGCCGCCACCACCAGCCCCCATCGATGAAAAACATGATTCACGTGAGAAAAGTTCAGCAGTAGACAGACTATCTTTATACTTCCATAGTCTCATTTCACCCAAAACGTTTTGTTACTGTAGCCGTTGTAGTATCCCTCGTTGCTGATGTTCGAGGTTATCTACGTCAGCAATTAAGGATTACGGTAGTTTGACTCGTATTGTGTTGTAGTTAAGGTCTTTTTATTTTGTATAGGTAGGGTTTGTCACGCTTTCATTACCTACAGTGTATTGGTACGCATTTTCAAAAAGTGTAATGTACGTAGTAATGAAATGTCATTTTGCTTTCTTTTGATGTGTTGGTTGTTGATATTATCATTTGTTTTGTAATACTGCATGATAAAGGATCAATGGTTATATTTTGAAAACTTGTAATTACATTATGGTGAACCTCGGGTAACTTGTGTGCTTAAAACAAATAGTGAGAACACTACTCTCTATTATTCAGGTAAGTGCTTTTTTAAGAAAAAAGAAATGTAAACTTGTAAAAATAGTCTTTTAGTTGGTACATATTCTCTAATTTAATCAACAAGGAGAACATTTGGTAAGCCTTTTGGTAATTTAGGTATACCTACTAGAGTATAGTAGTAACACATATTATTATGCGAAATAGAAATTAGCTTAGCGAATGTTATAGCTTGAATATAAGCTCTGTGTATATCTTGTGCCACAGTGTCAGAACAGTCGTCAGCTGGCGGGGAAGCGGGTCGGCCGCCTCCGCCGCTGCCACCGCCGCGGTTCCCGACGCCGGGCAACGTCTGACAATGGGAGACCACTGCGCGTGCGCCCCTAGTTGCGCCGATCAAGGCCGCCGCCAACTTCTTGTTTCATGGACTCAAGCGCCAAGCGGTAGGCCGTGCCTCTATCACTACCACACAACAAATGTTCTAAATTGATGTGATTAGGTTATTAAAACGAAACTAGTATGTAAGTCACGGCGTAAATTTAATATAGAACTTTAGTCTGTCATTTTATGACATAAGATATAAAAGTGCATACCTAGGTACCGGTAAGATGGTTTCTTATACCATTTTCAATACATGTAAAATTTTACTAAATGAGAATTTAATTAAAATAAATTAAGATGAAAAAGTTTCGAATGAGGTTCGTAATATAATCGAAAAGCAGGTTATATAAGGAAAACTTACTGCCAAGTAGAGTTCGTTTCAAGATTCCATAACGAAATTATCACCGTATCCACGGTTAATAGGAACATTCTGTCATTTGCTGTTAAGAAAAAGATTCTGTCATTTGCTGTTAAGAAAAAGATTCTGTCATTTGCTGTTAAGAAAAAAATTCTGTCATTTGCTGTTAAGAAAAATATTCTGTCATTTGCTGTTAAGAAAAAGATTCTGACATTTGCTGTTAAGAAAAAGATTCTGACATTTGCTGTTAAGAAAAAGATTCTGACATTTGCTGTTAAGAAAAAGATTCTGACATTTGCTGTTAAGAAAAAGATTCTGACATTTGCTGTTAAGAAAAAGATTCTGACATTTGCTGTTAAGAAAAAGATTCTGACATTTGCTGTTAAGAAAAAGATTCTGACATTTGCTGTTAAGAAAAAGATTCTGACATTTGCTGTTAAGAAAAAGATTCTGTCATTTACTGTCATAAAAATAAGTATTAATATTAAGTGAAAAAATATACAATAAATATAAACGAAGCCTATCCTTCCTTTTGTAAAAGCCATTTGGTTATATATTTTACCATAAAAAACTGGTTCCTCGTTAATTAAAAATTGCGTAATGAGATATAAGAGACAAGCGTAAATTTACAAAAACGCAAAAATATTATTTAAGCGTTGGATGATTATTTATTAATCTGTATTTGAATAAAGCTACAGTGCGTAGGTAGTTGCGACTAAATCATAGTTAAGTAAGATCACAAAATGGGTATCACGAGTACATTGACCTTATTGGGAAATGTAGTCACGTTGGGAACGTACCGTTGTTTGTACTATAATATAAGTGACACGAGATTATGACTTAAGGTCGATTCACACATATCAGTGAGCCCACAGTTCCGGCACAGTACCGTTACAGTTCCGTATCCGTGCTACAGTGGTGCGTCAGTGCTTCAATTCACACATGTCAGTACTCAGTTTACGGAGCTTCAGTGAAAACGTGTCCGTCGCGTTGTCAAGTAACGTGATTATGGCTCTATTCAATACTACGGAGCTAGCAATGATAGCTGTTGCTTTAGACGAAGAAGAGCAGCATCAAGGAAAAAAAAGAAAATGGGTGCATGAAGCATGGCAATTAAGAGAGACGGAAGGAGAATTCATCATATTATACAAAGAATTAGTTAAAGAAAATATTTTAAAATGTCAGAGAGCTGCTTCAATATTCTTCTGCAATAAATAAAATGTAACAATTAATAATAACGCGGCGTCAGTGATCCGTGATAAAATATCGTTGTCGCCGATCACGTCCGTGATGGCCGGTGCCGGCACTGACACTGACGGTACTGAGACGACACTGACACTGACAAGTGTGAATACATCCATAGAGAATGTTTGAAAGAATAATTATCACTGATGCGGTACTGTGCCAGAACTGTGGGCTCACTGATATGTGTGAATCGACCTTTACACACTAATTAAAAATTGTATTGCAATTCCATTTAAAGGAAAATACCGATCCCAATCAAGAATTTTAAAAAGTCTGACAGCTGTCAAGTATGAATATTGTTTTACGAGAAGAGAGACATTAAAAGTTGGTCGTAAATAAAATCTATTTTAAAACGTGAGTTTAATTTTTAAAAAGCTTTAATCTCGTGTCGAATAGTAACAACCGGTGCACTAATGCTTACGAAAACGATATTATTATTCACGCGTATTGTCACGAATATGTACAAAAAACGTGCGTGACTTTATTATATTATTGTTGTTTTTTTATAAATAATGGTATATTACTTTACGAATGTTTTTATTCTCCTTTTTCACATGATTAAAATGATTGTTATACTTATTAATAATACATTAAAGTCATATCTAAAATGGCTTCATAAATAATAATTAATATTGTAATGAATATAAATAATTATAAATAAAACATTATTCTGGTCGAAAATAATTTATTGCAGTTGCGGGAATTGAGTAGTCGAGTTTATAAATTGAGTTTCACGATGTGGTAATTATATGTAGTTCAGAATATGGTTACCTTATTATTTATCATGTGCAAGTAGACTTTTTAAGTTCTAGTCTTAAGGAGATATAAAAAATCGTACTACTTTTGATTGACGAAAAATGTAGAGTACGGTAAGTTATACAACTTGTGAAAACTTTTAAGAATGTAAAGCTTTTAACCTAGTACGCCCCTAGATGACAAAAAATAATTATTTATTAGCTAGGGTCACTAGTTACTTCAGGGTTGTAGTCGATTTCTGCCCATCCGTGTGTCTCCTTTAACTGCTCAATTCCAGAGACTTGAAAGCGATGCGGCCAAGTCAAGAAGGTTTATTTAAGCGGCCTAAATTGTTTGCCTGGATGTGCGTACTATGACTGGCCAATACACGTTGATGTTTCTATATTTTAGTTGTTAATTTAATAAGTAATTAAACTGTAAGTTGCAGAAAAATATACACGAGTTCTACTCATTTTCACTTTCAGAATTATATAGTAATAATATAATACTTTGGATATGTTTTTAGGAAAGTTCTGTGGCTTTAAAATTGTTTCCTCGATAACACCGTTTGCAGCATTTCAACACTATTAGCCATTTTACTAACAATAATCTCTGACGCACAAAATGTTAACGCTAAATCCTGCGCACAATGTACAGAATACGTAGAGAATACCTACAACCTTAATTCACAATTGCACAAAATATTCTCCTATCTTATATATTTGATTAGTTTTATTGTGCATTTGATATATTCCTATGTTTATTTTAATCTAATTTTTTATTAGCTATTTGAGAGTATGTAAATGGTAAATGTATCGTAAAAATTAAACTACCAGCATTACTTACAACAACTTGTAGATATATGAAACCCAACCTCTTGTATTGAAAATAGACTTAACATGTATATTTAACGAAGTCAATTACACAGTTGTATCTGATTTATATAATAGTTGTCTTGTTTTTTTATACTTTGATGAAGTGCATTTGAGGCTCGCCAACTCTCGTGTCTTGTATTAGTATGTCTGTATAAGCATGTGTAATATACTCGGACTTTGTATTTAGTCGATAACTGGACGCAAGATGCACGGATGGCGCATTTATTGGGAGCCAAGCCCCATGGCTAGTAAACTACACAGACCCTTAAACTCTTCTAAGCACTATCCACAGTTTTTGCCACAACTACTTATCTGAATTTATTTTAAGTTTCATTACGGTGATTACCCCGTAATTGTACAAAAGGAACTTGTAAAATTTTATTGGAACTAATACTTGTTATAAAAACATTAAAAAATATATAACTTGTTTTAATTTATCAAACCTTTTTCCTTCTTTAAATATTAACATAGGTAATTAGAAAATATCCTCTCTTCACGCATTGGTTTTGAAAAGAAAATTTAATACAATAGGTACTTACACGTTACCTCCTCCTGATAATACGTATATGAGAATTTGTCATAAAGATAAATACATATAATATGTTAATCAAATAGAGTAGGTATATAGTTCTACCGCAATCTCTTTTATATATTATATTGAGTTCGTAAATAAGGTTAATCTCTTTTGATAAAAAAAATATTTCAGAAAATTATTGAATTTGAATTTAGAAAGCAAGTAAAAACAAACACAATTTATATTGTCATTTAAAAAGTATAGCTGCAGTGAGAACAACGTGATAACAAAATATAATAAAGTCACTTCAAACTATTTTAAGATTGTAAATTAATTGAAAAACTAAAAAATGCGTGAATGTATATCCATACATGGAGGACAAGCTGGGGTTCAGATCGGCAATGCTTGCTGGGAATTATATTGCTTAGAACATGGAATCCAGCCTGATGGGCAAATGCCGTCTGACAAAACGGTTGGAGGAGGCGACGATTCATTTAACACCTTTTTTAGCGAAACGGGCGCTGGAAAGCATGTTCCCAGAGCCGTGTTCATAGATTTGGAGCCAACAGTAGTCGATGAAGTTCGCACGGGGACCTACCGACAACTTTTCCACCCGGAACAACTTATAACGGGTAAGGAAGACGCCGCTAATAATTATGCAAGAGGACATTACACCATCGGTAAAGAAATAGTTGATTTGGTATTAGATAGAGTTAGAAAGTTAGCTGATCAATGCACGGGGCTTCAGGGGTTTCTCATATTTCATTCTTTTGGGGGTGGAACTGGCTCTGGATTTGCTTCTCTGTTGATGGAGAGGTTATCTGTGGACTATGGAAAGAAGTCAAAGCTTGAATTCGCCATATATCCTGCTCCCCAAATATCAACCGCAGTTGTTGAACCGTACAATTCAATACTTACAACGCATACAACTCTAGAACATTCAGATGCTGCTTTTATGGTCGACAATGAAGCTATCTACGATATCTGCAGAAGGAATTTGGATATTGAAAGACCCACTTACACTAATTTGAATCGCCTAATAGGACAAATTGTATCGTCCATCACGGCTTCTTTAAGATTCGATGGTGCCTTAAATGTTGATTTAACAGAATTTCAAACCAACTTGGTACCGTATCCACGGATTCATTTCCCTTTAGTTACATACGCTCCCGTAATTTCTGCAGAGAAAGCTTATCATGAACAATTGTCAGTAGCTGAAATCACGAATGCTTGTTTTGAGCCCGCTAACCAAATGGTGAAATGTGATCCTCGCCATGGAAAGTACATGGCTTGCTGCATGTTATATCGTGGTGATGTGGTTCCTAAAGATGTGAACGCAGCCATAGGTACAATAAAAACTAAACGCACTATACAGTTTGTCGATTGGTGTCCCACCGGGTTTAAAGTTGGTATAAATTATCAGCCACCTACTGTAGTACCGGGAGGAGATTTAGCTAAAGTCCAACGTGCTGTTTGCATGTTATCTAATACAACTGCCATAGCCGAAGCATGGTCTCGACTAAACCATAAATTTGATTTGATGTACGCCAAAAGAGCGTTTGTCCACTGGTACGTCGGTGAAGGTATGGAAGAAGGTGAATTTTCAGAAGCTCGCGAAGATCTAGCTGCTTTAGAAAAGGATTACGAAGAAGTGGGCATGGACTCTGGCGAAGGAGAAGGTGAAGGAGGCGAAGAATATTAATTTTATATTATTTTTAGTTTTTTTTCATATAGGCTACGATGTTTGTGATATTTTTGGCAATGTTCAATAAATTAACAAGTAAAGAAGTTGTTTCAATAAAATTCAACCACTTAACAGCTCGATCATCAATCTAAACTAAAACCTTTTTCTTAAAGAAATTTGATAGTCATATAGTGGAATAGGGATACCTGTTAAGCTATCTATTTAAAAACACCTATTTTAATGCATGAAAAGATATTTTTTACAAAAAAAATTGTCATTAGGCGGGTCCACACAGAGCGAGCAGCCTCGCGAGGCATTTGCCGGGCGAAGCAGCTCCGTTAGTGTGGACGCACCTCGGCCGAGGCAAGCGCACGCGCCTCAGTCGTTTGCTGCGCGCACTCTGGACGCTCGTGTATTTTGTTTCGTGTCTCGCTCGAGCATGTCACTGTAGAATGATAACCTTGTATGTCCAGAGAATCAAACTTTACAATGTACGTCAAAAGAGAAATATAGATTAAATGCTTCTAATTTTACATCATTCTACAAAAGAAAAAAAAAAAGATAGAAAAATTCTTTATAATATTAGAATACCTGTTTGTTTATTTTATGTACTTCTATTCTAGACGCGGACAGTGTAACTAACATCGTTGGCTCTTTATAAAAATAAATTATTGTGAATATTATTGGAATGAATATGTAAGTGTTATAGTTCTCTTTTTTATTATCCTATTTATAAGTATAAAAGCAAGAGCTGCCACCGCAACACGTTCGTGTGGCGCCATGATTATTTACCTAACCTAAGAAACGAACAAAATGTCTCGGGCTTTCTGCGCGCGGCCGCCTCGCGATAAGTTTCCTCGCGAGGCTGCTCGCTCTGTGTGGACGCACCTAACGAACGAACAAATGGCTCGGGCTTGCCGCGCGAGGCTGCTCGCTCTGTATGGACCCGCCTATTTCATTCATTATTAGTTAACTGTGCTTCGTGTTGATAAATTAAATTCCTTTAAAGATTTGTATTTTTAGTGAATAAAGGCATAAGTATTATTTAATTAATTATATTTTTATATTCTTACATGTCCCAGAGTTGGTAAAGGATAGGTAGGCTGTGGCCTACACCAGTAGTACCAACCGCGCAACCAAGAAGCCCTTGAGGCCATTCCCAATGAAGGCAACAAAATATGTTTCTAACAATGCTCAAGGTAGTAAATAGCTACTTAGAAAAAAACAATGTTAAGGTGGCGACTAACATCGAATTTTCGCTCGATATGAATATTTGTTTGTTGTAAGCATGCTCATAACACCTGAATATTCGCGATTCGCCTGTGCTCCATCCATAATCCCATCCACAGTTGCAGTCAAAATAGTGGACGTAGAGGTGTTGGCTTGTAATGTAACGGGAATCGTCAAAAAAACGACACCCGAGTGGAGCGCGCTCGGGGGGCGCTCGTATCGAGCTGCTCGGCTCGATGCCGAATATTCTACTTGTAACAAGAAGATCAATAAATTACTTTCTTAAGGACAATTGAGTTTAATTCTCAACACGCCCTTACAACTGGCGTGCAACGTAAGGTGGGTGATAGACGTACGAGTAAGTACGCGGACTTGTGGCTCGACGACCTTTTTCGCCTGTGTGTCACCTTAAAAACGCGTACTTTAAAATTGCCGCGCAAGTTCGCCTGTTTGAAATCATACTCGTAGCTCGTCTCGGCTCGTACGTGTGGCAGCGCTGCGAGCCGGGAGCCGCCATTTTTTTTTGTTTTATTATGTTTTTCTCTTACTATATTCACATTCAAACGCTCTCTTTTCGTAATCCAGTGCATTACCCACACTTGTTGATTTCATCTTTTTTTATTAGTTTTTAAGATGTAGTATGATATAATTCCCAAATAACACAAAGGTTCTTCTCTCGACGACATCGCGATATAGTATGAGCAAGCTTCACGTGTGTCACCGACGTCGAGCCTAGTAAGTTCACGATTAAACCGCGTACTTTAAGTTCGTACGTCTATCACCCACTTATAAGAAGAAGACGGGTATACTAAAAATTTAAAAGACCCGCATTTTTATCAACGCGCCTTACAAAACTCCTTTATTTGTTTAAAAGGTACTACAAATGTCATTATGGTCATTCAAAATTCTTGGCATAGCTGCTAACGTCACGCATATTCTATTTCTTTTTACTTGTAGATTGTCATATTCCCATCTCGCTCGCGCACGCTCGGCGCCCATACTGATAATTTTGTGTCACGGTGCGCGCGCATCGTAAAATTTCACTCTCATAAATTTTTCATAACGCGCCTAAAGAAGTATAACTTCAATAACAAATATTTCAATATCACGAACAAATCGAATTAACTTTAATTATTTTATTTTATTCTTTAGCTGACTTCACTGCCTACTAATTCCAGGTTTAGTAAACCATTTTTTATCTTTACTTGTGCGTTTTACTGTTTGTGATGACAAGGCACATAATTATCAGTCGCCGTAAAACCACTTTTAATGTTGAGCACGACACTTAATAAAATGGAGACATTCACTAACAAGACAATTGTATAGAGTCAGATGTTGACTCGTATTGAAAATGAAAAATGTGCCCGACCAAAAAGGTTTGTAATCTCTGAAATGTCTCTGAAATTATGGCTGTCAGAATTCTACGGAATTAAAAATCAGAGTAATAGAAGGTATTCTGGCAGAGTTGAATGAATTCAATTCATGTATCAAAAATAAAGCTAACAAATTTTAATTATTTTTATATTTATTTATGTAGGTAATTTCTGATTAAACATTATTTTGTGATTATGACCTAATATTAATAATTAAGTGTATAATCTCAATTGCTACATACCACATACGCCACGGATACCATACTTCTGAAATATTACATACCAACTTAATGAATATGCAATATCAATTAAAACATGATGGATTTTTATTATGGCAGATCACACAAATTAAAATAATATGATGTTAACTTAACACCATTACACCTTTTATAATATTTATTTCCTGTCTGTTTTGAGGCAATTTCATGTCTTGAATGTGTGGATAAAATATGTATGCCGACTTATTTAATTTGTACCATGAGTACTTTTAACAACGGTGCAATGATTGAGTTTTTTTGATTAAGGGGGTAGATATATCGTTTGCCCTGGGGAACAAAGTTGTAAAGCAGTATTACGACTGTTTTAATGTTTTCTCATTTTGATTTCCTTGGGTTGTACTATAACTGTATTTTTTTATTCAGAAACATTATTAAAAAAATACGAGTATGTCTTAAGTCTACAGAATTTATGTTGTGCGCAATGATAGTAATACTCGATTTTTTTTTACCCCACTTTTACTTTCTTGACATAGTTAGCAACAACCAGGAAATTACTTTTAGTTTAGATTCTACCAAATAATCATAAAAGTTAATGGGACAGTTTAAAAACAAATAAAGAGTAGTAATAATACATCAGTTTCACCAAGGCATAATATTTCCGCGAAAAGTGTGATAATAAATTATTACGTTCTAGACATTCGTCAAAATTACCGTCGTAATGTACGTGTCGTCCGTAATTTTATTTAAATAGTGAAACAATCGTAAAACACTTTTCAGTCTAATTTGATAAATTACTGTAATGTATATTTATTTACTAAACACATAACGGTTAAATCCTCGAATAGGAAAAAATATAATTTAATTTGATATATTTATTTGTATATGTAATGTACTTAGTATCCCAGTAATAATAGTATTAGGTAGCTTCTTTTATTAATCCTGAAAATTTTTTCAGAAAAATATTTATCGGGGCAAGCGATTATAGCCAACTTCAACAGGACATATAGAGCGTAGGAAAAAAAATGAAATAGTCTGACAAATTCTGTGTTGATGCAATAAAGCATTGGACAGCGGGCGTTCCATCTGGAACAAACCCGTTTACAATGCGCACGCACAGTGTTAGCATGGAAACCGGGTTGTCTGTGTCTGCATATGCGAGCGATTGTAGCACTACATAGAAAGGAATATCAAAAAGTTAAACATTAAAAAGCCGTAATACTTTATTAAAAATAACCAAACGTATCAATTTTTTTCTTTATTTTATTGCATATTCCTTAAACACTGTATTATTCTCGATCGAATTCCACAGCCTCATACGGATGGTATTTTTTACAGAAGGTTCTGCAAAGAAGATATTACCATAAGAAATTTTAATGTATGGTGTGAAAATATCCCATATTTATAAAATACCACATTTCTGCAAACTTATAATTTTTAGTCACTTAAAAATTTGAATAATTGTTAATTTGAAATATATATAAATAAAAATGAATCGCAAAATATGATGCTAAGTGCAAAACTCAGACGGTTAGACCAAATCGAGTATATTTTTTAAATTGATCCCTGGACCCATGAGATGGGTTTTTTTACAAAAAAATAATAACTTGGAAAAAAGCACGGAATACTTTAAAAACTATTTTTTTTTGTTTGCCCGTGCAAATTCGGGACGGGTCGCTTGTTTGGAATATTTTGTACAACAAAATTGGTTCAGTCGGATGTTAGTAGAATATGAAGGTACATAAAATATATGAGCGCCTTCTAGTTGTTGTGTAAGTAGGCGGTGGTTGATGATAATGCTGCTGATCGGCCATGTTTAGTGACAGCCAAGAAATCGGCAGCTGTTTTTAAAATCAGTTACAGAGGAATTACAGAAGTGCATTTGTGTGTGTTTATCACTCATGTCTAATCAGTTCAATCCTATCAGCAAGACACTTTGTTACATAAATACCTTTGCAAATAAATCACAAGCCGCAATAGAACATATCCTATATGAATTGTAGTTCTTGCTAAAAGCGTGAAAAACACAATAGAATTTGTCAGAAGAAAACAAAGCAAAAGTATTAAATCTGTTACGGCATTTTTAATAGCTTTGTTTTTTCCAGACGATTTACGCAACCCACAGTACCTGGTGACAAAACAATAACATTAGACACAAATAAATGTATGTAAATTAAATTGGTTTGTTTCTGTTACAGTA